AACTTACCAGCTCGCGTGTGCAATGCGCAGCTACCTACCCCCCAACAATCGGTGAACGAAACTGCGGCAGCTACAACCAGTGTACGACGAGTACGCGGTTCTTACAGCTGACAATGATGATGATGATGATGACAACCCTTCAGTTTCACTACAATATAATAATGTACGTTGAAACTCGCCATTCATCTCAGGTTGAAAAAGAAATCACTTGCACTAAAAGTCCATCGGCGTTCGTCAACACGGTGTAGACTGAAATGATGCTTTCTCTGAGACTAAAGAGCAAGATACTGACCCAGTTCATGATTAGCAAGTTTCTGCGCACGTTTTCCCGGTGTGAAGGTCGGAGTCCTTAGAGCAATTACAATCTACATCTGTCTTTTTATATCCATCTCCCAGTTGTCCGTTGCATGGACGTTTCTTGCAACCGAACTGGAAGCATCGCTATTGAGCTTCATTGTAAGCAGCCTCCGCTCACGAGTGGGCAGCTCACGGTCTACAGGTCTAGACTGAACTTCATTCACTAACGGCTACCATGTACACTGACAATGGCTGACTGCGTCAACAAACACACTCAATGCGACATGACAAGAGCTCGTCAGCATCTGAATACAGGAAGCAACAGTAGGTCGAAAAAACACCCTAGATGCCATCGAACGCCAGTGATTTCACATGCTTGTATACATGAGCCCCCGATGTGATAAATCATCCGGTAGGTAATGCGTCGTACAGTGAAAATCGGTACCACGAAAGTGGTAAATCACAGATGAGGCGAAGCGAGGAGTCAACAGGTGATCCATGCCCGAATTTGACAAGAAGTGGTTCAAAACCACAAAGAAATGACATACCGACTGCATGATAACTATTATGTGTTTCAGGATGAGGAGGCGAGGATAACCTAACCGAGATACAAAACTCGCCACGTCAACGATATGTCTGTGGTTACTCATTCACTATCACATGCTGATGCATTGATATTCTTTGAAAGGGTGCAAATATTTGCATGTTATGTTGTTTCAGTATTTCCTGTGTGAGTGGACTGTGAAAGTTTTGCACTGTATATGCAAGACAATCCCCATTTTTGAGTCCTACTAGAACTAATTAAGCGGTTACAATGCAATATGATTCAATAACTGGCTGCAATTAATCGGTTTTATTTGAACCCGAGTGAACGGGACGGGTGTGCCGCATTGATTGGTACAGTTAGCTAGTCGTGCGCAAAAAGCGAATGACTCATCACTTTTCCATCTATGGGATTTCCCAAACTGTTGCCTTGAACTACTTACAAATTGACGAGCGTGACGTGGGTAGGGTGAATACGAAACCGTTGGATTGGCAGTCAAACAGAAAAGGTCCGACTCACTTCACTTCGACAGGCATGTCCTGACAACCGGCAGGACAGACGAAGACGGGGATTCGTTGCGCCTCATGTTCAACCCAGACAAGCAGGTCTGAGCGTTGGTTTCCCTGGATGTCAGCTGACGGCCTGATGGGAGCAATAAGGGCTGCATCCAGCGGCTGTGATAGCATCGGGAGCATATTCGGTGTTTTTGAGTTTGCAACCGTGCTCAGTGGAGGCGGTGGATCCGAACGCCAGGTGGACAATTCAACAACCATGAGATGTGGAGAGGAGAGACTAAGTTCACCGGGTACGATACGAATTTCCACGTTGACGTAAACACCGGGTTGATTGAGCTGGACACGACGGAACAGTATATCTCGATGTAGTGTTTCTGCCGATAGACCACAAGAGGCGTACTTCTCATGCAGATGAAACTGGCCAATGTGTAGTAAAGCTGCCTGTAAAAAACGACATGGAGAAGACGGAACTGACAAGAAGAATACATGCGAACAGGGTTCTATGGACATATGAACAAGGACAAGTGGATTTCTCCGAACTCCGGAGGTCACAATTCCATTCAATTCGTTTCGAAAAAATGTCAATATGGCCGAGAAACTGCGTAGCGGCTACAAAAGAGATTCGCAAGCAGCAATACCAGTGGTCAGCTGGGGTAGAAACCGGTAAGTGGAATGAATGCACACAACTTCATACGGCGTTGGTATAATTACCGGCATGTCTTTGTCCCTTCGTGCATGAAGTATTTAGTATGGCTAATTGCTTCTTCTTTACGTGGTTACCTCCGCTAGGAAGTAACGATCCACCACCGGAGTTGTCTAAGGATATGGAACTGGAACTACCGATTAGGACAGGATGCATCAATCGAAAAAGAACAAACTCAAAGCAAGCCTTTCACTCCAAACATATTTATGGGAATAAACAGTATTGAGAAACCTACATCTGCAGTGGGTTTTCAGTGACAACATCCTGAATGAGATACAACCTACATGAAAATAGGATCCCCCTTACAAAGACCCCACCGACCTGATGTCCGAGAGCAGATGCTTGATTCATTTGCAAAGAATGGTTTCCAAGTTCAGTACAAAAAGACGAACACATTTACGAAGATTCCTACCAGAATAATACTAAATTCGGTTAAGTGAATTCAGTCAAACCATGTGCCTTTTGATTCCGATATTTCGCTGTCACGCTGTTGTTATAACGAGGCACTATATACCATACGCTTCAAGTCCAAGTAGACTTCCTTCAAGAATACGAAACGTGTGTTGATATTGTTCCGACTAGGGCAGATAAAAGGCAGTCGACTTAAAAAAACAGTGTGTCACTATTCACCAAGTAAGTGCGACTTCCGTTTGTTCATCACAACGAACCAAACGGCCACTTGGCGAATGGCGACTAGGGAAAGTCGCGGCTAACTTCGGAGATCCGCATCACTTTGTTGCCCTTTTTATATCCAACGTTTCGCTCTTACCACCTCACATGTATTTATTTCGCCGACCAACCCGTCCAATTTTTTCCAGGTTCCAGTCACTCCAAACAAACGGCGACTTCCTGATGGTGTATATTGGTTGACTAAACAACTGTCGATATAAGCCTTGCAAAGAACGGATGACCTGACGAGGTTTGCGCGCTCTGTTGCGATACGACGAGCGTTGGCATCACCTTTCGCCCGACCGGTTTCAACATGCTATGCAGGCAATGTGCAGGGACCCGGGTCAGCCAATGGTCCAATCAAAGAGGATTGATGCGTACCTGTCACCGGAACCGTGGTTTGACCACAATCGATCGGCGGTTATGATTAAAACAGTAGGCACAAGAACATGAGATAACCTTTTGTCCAACCGCTACGATAAACCTCTACACGAATATCACAGCAATAACCCTAAAAATCGTAAGGCGAAGTAAGGGCCGCTCTGTTCCTGGCCGACAATGCATTGACGTGGGTTGCACCGTAACCTGGCTAAATAAAACACCCCATCACGTGACTGACAGTTTGGTTTGATAGTGCGCGCACATATGCCATACGCACCAGAGGTTGACCAGCCGACTGTCACCAGCAGAAAGTACCGAATGCATCTCACGGGTGGAACAGTACGAGAGGGAAACTGAGAGTTTGAACACAAGACGCACACGCTTATCACCTGCGTTAGTTATAGATGCACTGCTGGAAAAAGACTGACAGCAGAGTTCAAGATACGAACGAATGTTGGACGATCGTCTGGGTGGAACGCATACCAGACAAAGTAGAATGATGCAACATTCTAGAGTATGCTTTTAAAGAATCCTCCAATGTTGCATGTGAGAAATGCCGCACTCAGAAAGTATCAAGTGTGGCCTACAAGATGGCGAAAATCCCTATCAGATCGAACTCGTAATGGCACAGACTAGAGACAAAAATTCATCCAAACATCTTTGATTGTGTGCTGGTACATCTGCACTTAAAAAAAGAATAAATTAAAGATCCGTTTATGATATTATCCTCCACGGAAGGCGCGAAGTGAGAACGACCGACCAACCCTTTAGTTAAACCCCGAAACCATGGCCTCCGTTCGATAGACGGCGTTTAGCAAACAACTTCCATCGTATTAGCCCTCCCTATCTTGTCTTAACGCAAAAGAGACGAGCACCACAAACAATGTTCTCAGGGAATGCCGGTATCTTGGAAAGTACAAAAGATGTCCGTTTCGTTCGATCTATCCAAAGTTTTATGGATTGACTTCAGAACCTATTTTCAAAACCTCTCTGGTAAGGTACAGTGTGAATTTATCTTTCGGGTAAATCAGACAGTGTATTGGTGGGGGCTTCAAACAGCTGGAGTGAATCAAGAGTGGATAACCCAACTGCAACAGCACAATTGGATTTAGCTGACCACATCTTATAGACAACAGGAACTTGATTTCATTTCTAAACGTCAAAAGGCTCGGAAGGAGTTAGGAATCAGGACAACCAATAGAACGGATAGATAAAACGGCGTTTCACAAATTCCATTAAAGAGCATACAGGCGCCAAGACCAGAAGCCGTTTTTTCTACCGAACCGGGAGTGCTGAACAGCGACATCTCATAAATTGTATTCGGAAAGCGACACAAAAACTTCATTTGTCCACTGTAGCGGAAAATTTTTCAGCTCCCTACCTGATACAGGTATCTCAGGAAATAACTGGGAAAGTCGCATCCACCTATCATGCACATACTGATACCTTCTTGAGAGTGTTCCTACTTTGTTTGTTGCTAATATCACAGTAGTCTCTAGAACAAAAAATCGCAGTAGAGCTGTCCTCAGGTCTGCTTTATGTCTAACGGAGTAATACCATACTAATAGTTAAACAATAGGGGGAAACACGAAGACGCAGTCAAGTATTTCATCAAAATAGGCCGTGCAGTAAGTTACCGTTAGACAGAAGAAATGTTGACTGCCGTTTGTCCATTTCTTCCACTAGCCTGTTCAGCATGTCACCGTTGTATCGACGAGACACTGAAAGACTAGTCCCCAACATTCAAGCTTTCAATTCTGCGGAATCCATTCAAAGATGAGCTGATATGTATGTTACATTTTATGGCCGACCGCAACTTGGAACATTGTAGTCGACTAATTTTTCCAGCGAAGACAGTCGCCACCAGGTAGGTAAACGAGTACCTCCGAATTTGATGGGTTGAATTTTTTGTGACAAATCACGGCTGAATAATGTGATCTGATACGTCCCACTAAGTTCATAAAGAATACAGCCCCGTAGAACCATTTGACAAATTGTTCCATTCAACCCCTTCGCCGTTCCATCCAGTGTGGTCAATATTCCGAGCTGTGACTGTCGTAAAAATACGCGCTTCTGGTGTAGTGAGAGAGTGGACCGATGAACGACCAAGACAACTTTTCAAGCTCCGTCTTTTTCAGCTTACATGAAATTGGCAACGATGAGGGCTTTGCGAGTTAGCAATAGCTAGATTAGATCTAGTTAGGGTCGTAAGTTCAGCTCTTTTGTTCACGTCTAATTGAACACAGTCGTTTGAGCCAACGGGGTGGTACGCAAAACGAGTATAATTAGCAAGACTACGTCTTTTAAGCGAAATACAGATTACGTTTATAGCCATGGCGCTTACCGCGGTCAAAGTTCAACAAGTAATTTTTCGACGAAAATGATACAACGCAGGAAGAAAAGACCACTTGGCGGATTTTAAAGTGAAGCATGAATCCCAAAGTGTTCGCAAAGAATACGAGGACTTACAAAATGACTCAGTCAAACGCCAATGTATGTGCTGACCTATTCCGAAAGCTGCTTGACCCGTGACAGCTGAAACTTGCATTTGCTATTGTGTTTCGCTTCAGGATGAAAGTCAGACTGGGGCTAGCTTAGTCTGTGCTTGTGAACCATACGTCAAAAGAAAACAACATGATCCCCATTAGGTCTACAAGGCTGGTCAATGGAACCAGTACGAGGTTGCGACCCATGCAGATCTGCATATGCATCACGGCCGCTGTACAGTAACGGTTTCTAAGCCAACACATTCAGTATTAGGAAGTAGATGATCTAAAATATGCTCTGTGTCAGTTCGGTAGGATTCAAAACTCAGTTCAACGGCGAAATGTCACAAGGTGACCTTCATTTTTTCTCATTTGTTAGTTACTTTTGATGTTTGATGAAGTACCCTGACACGTGAAAAATCTCATGAAAACGATAAATAGACCAAAACGCCACTAGGCCACAATGAAGCGTGAGGGTGCGAGCACTCAGTCATGGATTTGACGGAAGTGAGTGGGCAATCAGACTACATACGCCCTAGGTGTTTTGCCACTCCAAAGTCTCGGAATTGACTGTGAGTCAAGCAGTTAAGAGAAGCGGGTATGACTTGAAGACCTGTTCAATGAATACAATGCAGCTACAGCATGTCTTCTTACACAAAGACGTTTTAATAATAGAGTCCTTTCTCCCCGATAATATGATGATTTACAGCAGCTCAGGCTAATTACTAAGAGGTGTCTGTTACGGATCGTAATAATCATATTCATGAATTCGAATCTATGAAAGGAAGGACTTTACGATGACTATATATAGTTTGCACCACGAATGATTGCAGGTAAGCCTTTGTCGGCGGTTTGGCGAGCGGCAGTCAACCGAAACGAAAGTGTGCTGCATCAAATGGTTCGGGTCCTACAAAAAAGGTTGATTATTTTACAGACTAGTCGATCTGAATCTAGAAACGTCCAACAATAAGACAGAGTTCAAAGGAGCTGCTTCATTGTCCCTTCCGACGAAATTCGTCACACAGTCAAATGTTACTGAAAAGCTCAGGATGCTGTGCAGCAGTTTCAGCAGGTCAAAAATTTATGCATCACGAAGGCAACATGGTACCTGGCGACTTTCCAGGTGGACTGTAACGCATCTAACTCTGAACAACAGAAGTGAGTATACAGCGAAACGGTAGCAGTAGTAATGTGTGATTCAT